GAAAATAATTTTTGTTCAATAGTCAAAATAATTTTGTGCGAAAGTCAAAATGATTGCTAGAATATTAAAACGTTTTATAGCAATGCTTATCAGTTTTAACGTTCCAACAAATTATTTTGATGATTCAACAAAAAATTATTTTCAGATCTATTTTTAGCAAAATTTTTAGACTTTTCAACAAAATTGTTTCTTTCCGTGCAGTTTTTCGCGGAGTGTACCTATACTGGTTGTACTGTGTTAAAGTTTCTCTAGATGCACCTAAGCGAAGTTTCTGAACGCAGTCCAGATTAACAGACTTTTCTTCTTCTTCTTTTCCTTTATGGGACCTACACTCAGGCGGATATGATACGGCCCAATTTCCAAACAGCACGAGATTCTAAATCGTAGTCACCAAACGGCACGATGAAATTTTAAAGCCCGTATCAGACTAAAGATTGAGATTGAGATTGAATTGGGATTTAACCAATTAGAAGAAAGAAAACCAATCTCTAATTTAGTGAACTTTGTTTAAATTGGTCAAATTCCATTACAATCTCAATCTCAATCTTTAGTCTGATACGGGCTTAAGTCGCAGTGAGATGCAATACCGCGAAGATTCTAGAAGATTCCAGAATCACTCGGCCACGAACGTCCACCTCAGCCCGTGGCTCACGGTCGAATCCCCTGCAGATTAACAAACGAATAAGATCTTTACAACGCATCTCAGTTTCAGAGCGTTGCAAAAAAAAAAAATTGGCAGTTACGACGTACCGCGTCAACAAAAGTCTGTTCGCGTCTGTTTGCCCTTTGCTTCGTTTGTCGCCTCGCATCGTTAACACGCGGCGTCGACCCGGTATTTTTTCTCTTACTCGCAGGAAAACCGCATTGCCGCACACGTCGCGGATGGCAAACAAACCTTAATCAGATCGATGCCTTTACCGGAGATTGACGGCTCGACGGAAATTCAATTAACCATTCTTTGTTATCGCGGCACGTACGTGCCGCGCGTGTTGTTTCACGCTACGGCGGTTTGCTCTTTGATCCCTTTTACCACCACCGCGACGCGATCACCTTTATTTCCGCCTCCTTTTTCCGCCCTGTGACGGACAAGCGGAAAAGAATTACCGATGTCGCGAACGCGTTGCATTTATTGCCCGAGCGTAACGACGATGTGCCATTTATTAGATCACGTACGTGGTTATTGAATTAGAATTAATCCCACGTATGTGAAATAATAATCCAAACAACAATATTTACGCTATAATATAATACGGCCCAAATTTTAGATTGAATGTTTTTCGTTTGAGCAGGTACGAACTATCAATACCGCGGATTATCAGGCTTTACCTCACGGTCCGTTAAACAGATGGGCCAAGGTAGGTTTAACCCAAAATGGTTTATATCAATCCCTAATGCGTAAATAAGGGAGCGCATAATGCGTTTCTAATGCGCAATGAATTTCTCAAATAGATGACACAATTGCGTAACAAACGTGGGCGTGTCCAAGCGGGAGGTTTGGGGAGGAGGAGGGGAAGGGGTTCAAACTCTCCTCGAAATTTTTATTTTTAATTACAAAACACAAGTTTACTTTTGACTCTAAGTAAATTTTTTTATTATTACATAAAATATTATTTTAGTATTATTTTATTATTTTAATTGTTACTTACGCGTTAAGAGTTAACAGAATTGAGAAAAATTCCCTCTCCCCCTGCCCCGAAAGAAATCCTATATGAGAGAAAAGATATACTAATGGTAACAAAAAGAGAATTATTCACAAAAGTCAAGTTTTATTCTAAAATTTTGTTAAAATAGCAAAATATATAATTAAATAAGCAAAATTTGGTATAATTTTTTATTTAACAACACAATTTTATTTGGTTACTCACATTTTGTACACAGTAATATAAAATTGGGTTGCAATTACAAAATAAGTTTTCTTTTAGTAAGTTTAACAAAATAATGTAATTA